TTATTATTATTATTATTATTATTATTATTATTATTATTAAGCTCAAAATGGCTCAGGATTGGTATGCTGAAGGACCAATTCCTTCCTGCAAGCCTGCCTGGAGTCTGAGATTCTCAACAGAGATCATGTTACATGATCCACCATCCCAAAAGACTAGGTTGCATAGTCTCTCAAACAGGGCTTTTTCTCTAGTGACATCTCAGTTGTGGAAACCCCCTGCAAAGGAAGTCAGACTGGCCCTATTGAGTTTCCAGCAGGAAGCCAAGACTATATTGGCCCACAGGGCCTTTGATCCTGAAGAGAACGTTTGAGGTTGGCTTTGTAATTTGTTTTGGTTATGTGGCTTTTTGAAACTATTTTTTGAAAATCATTTTACTCTATTTTTAAAGAATGTTTTTATTTGTTATGCATTGCCTTGGCTGAGAAATGCTAAACAAAATATTTTTAATAAATAAATTGAAATAAAATAAAAAACAGCACCTGATTAGAAAGTCTCATTCATATGTATATAATATTTAGTATGTGCTTTGTAGACTATAGCAAAGCCTTTGACTGCATAGATCACAAAAAGCAACAGATTACTGTTAAAGACATGGGAGTGATAGTTCATTTGATATACCTGATGAGAAATCTGTACTTAGGCAAAGGGGTCTAGCAAGGCTGAACTCTATCACCCTGCTTGTTCAGCTTGTATGCATAAAATATCATACAAAGAGCAGGTCTAGACTCAGAAGCTGGAGGAATGAAGATAGGAGGAAGGAACATCAACAATCTACAATATGCAGACAACACCATATTACTAGTGGAAAACACCATAGACATGGAACAATTACTGAGGAAATTTAAAGAAGAAAATGCAAAATCAGGCTTACTGTTGAACATAAAGAAAACAAAAATAATGACCACAGAGGATTTATATAAATTAAACATGGATAATGAGGAAATTAATATAGTTAAAGTTGGATCAAACATTGATCAGAATGGAGACTGCAGCCAAGAAATCAGATGAAGGATAAAGATAGACAACTGAGCACTAAAGTTAGGATTGTCCAAGCCATTGTATTCCCTATCACCATGTATGGCTGTGAGAGCTGGACAGTGAAGAAAACAAACAGGAAAAGAATCAATGCATTTGAGATATGGTGGTGGAAAAGAGTGCTGAGGATACTGTGGACAGTCAAAAAGATAAACAAATGGGTCCTTGAACAGATTAAGTGTGAAACACCCCTAGAGTCAAGATGATCAAATTGAGGCTGTCATACTTTGGCCACATCATGAGAAGTCATGGCTCACTAGAAAAGACAATAATGCTAGGAAAGGTGGAGGGAAGCTGAAAGAGAGGGAGACTGCATTCCAGATGGATAGACTCAATTAGGGAGGCCATGGGTCTGAAATGGTGGGACTGGAGCAGAGTGGCTGAGAATAGGGGGTCTTGGAGATATCTCCTCCACAGGGTCACCCTGAGTCGAGGTTGATTTGGAGGCAGTTAACAATAATATAGTATATAAAAGCTCACTCAAATGCTGCAGCAAAGCAAAACATTAAAGCCCTCTTGAAGTTAATATGTTATAGTTGATTCCTGGCCTTCTGCTATTTTTCTGTAATCTTTAATATGCCTGTAATATGCTGTCAGTTTTATTAGGCGAATCATCTCTGTTATTTAATAACACTAATGGATACAGCTCAGTGGGAAATTTTTTTTTCTTGCAGCAATCCCACTGACAAGACTGTGCGCTGCTATGCTCACTCCATCCATTCCATAGTGGTTTACCACAGTCACATCTGAGTTACCTGGAAACTAAATTTCACAACTTGGTGAGCAGCAAACTGACATAGAGTATTGGCAATTTTAAATATTTAGAAAGAAAGCTGCATGACAGTAAAACAGCAGTAACAACAAATGAAGGCCTTCGTCCAAAAAAGATATAAAATGGTACGTTGGAAAGAGGTCATTTATATTTGGTTGTTGTTGTTTTTGCATGCCTTCACATTGCTTCTGACTTATGGCATCCCTAAGGCGAATCTATAATGGGTTTTTTCTTGGCAAGATTTGTTCAAAGGAGGTTTGCCATTGTCTTCCTCTGAGGCTGAGGAAGTATGTGACTTGCCCAAGGTCACCCAGTGGGTTTCATAGCTGAGCTGGGAATTGAACCCTGGTCTCCAGAGTCTTAGTCCAATGCTCAAACCACTACACCACACTGTACGGATGATGAAATGTGACTAACCAATTGTTTCACTCTTTCTTTTTGCTGCATCTGCACTGCAGAAAGAAGGCAATTTGGCACAACTTTGACAGCCAGGGTTTGGTGCTCTGGAATTCTGGGATTGGTAGTTTTGTGAGATATTTAGCCTTCCCTGTCAGAGAGCTCTGGTCACACAATAAACTACAGGATTTCATAGCACTGAGTCATGGCAGTTAAAGTGGTGTGAAGCTGCATTATTTCTGCAGTACAGATGCAGCCATAGTATCAAAGACTGTACTCTGTAATGGCTACTGCCCCTATCTTGCTGCACTCAAATATTCATGTAGGTAAAAGAACTGCAGCAATTTCCCATCCCCACCCCCTCCATGTCAGCCTTTGGAAAATGTGCCATCTAGTTGCCATCTGGCCACCCATCTGACTGTGGGGGTGGGTTACAGCTGAGACTTTCCTAGTATCTGAATGTCTCCCTTGGCAAAAGATGTCAGGTGCTAACCTGGGCATTTCCCCACTCTTTGAGACCTTAATGCAAACTGAACAGTAGTGCTGATGACTTCTGGAGTGGAGCAGGATGGGTTGAGAAAGACTACTTTCCAGAGGTCGCAGTCGCCATGCTGGCTGGGAAGGGTTTGAAAAGCTGTATCCAAAAAGGTAGCTCTTTAAGCCAAGTTTAAAACCAAGTTTTCACTCACATAGGAATCCAATCCAAAATTTTAACTCTTTCCCCCCTCCTGGCCAGGGCTGCCTGGCTCCCCATCCCAACTTCTGCTTGCCCAAATCAAGAAGCAATATAACACTCAAAGCCCCAGTGAAGTTTTTGAGCATAGGAATCCCACAACAGCTTCCCCTCCTCCCTGGTAGTATCTTTTAAGCCATAATAAGAAGTAAAATCCTGCTCAACCATGGAAACCCATTTGGCAAGTCACACACTCTCAGGCTCAGAGGAAGGAAAAGGCAATCTCCTCTCTGAACAAATCTTGCCAAGATAACCCTGTGATAGGATCACCTTAAGGTCACCATCCGTCAGAAGCGACTTGAAAGCACACAACAACAACACCAACAACAATGAAGTAAAAACAATTTTATTCCTCTTCACAACACCTTCTTCGCAATGCAGCTGCTTTGCTCTGTCTGACAGTAGGACTGACCTGGCACTTGCTTCTCTGCTATTTCATATATACCTTTGTCACACATGTTGTGACCATGGGTATAGCTGCACTGGCAGCAGTTTGATACCAGCTTCATTGCCATGGCTCCTTCCTATGAAATCTTAGGATTTGTAGTTTGGGGAGGTACTTAAAAATTTCTGCTAGAGAATTCTAATCCATTCCCCTGCTCTACAGCACTATAGCTCACTATCTGTCATATGGCAGCCTTAAGGTGAACCTATCACAGGGTTTTCTAGGCAAATTTCTTTAGAGGAGATTTGCTGTTGCCATCCTCTGAGGCTGAGAGAGTGTGATTTGCCCAAGGTCACCTAGTAGGTTTCTATGGCTGAGCAGGGATTAAGGCCTGACTCCTACTTTTAGTCCCAACTGAAGAAAATCCATTGAATGGTAAGGCAACACTTATATAAATCTCATTGAGTCAATGGGTCTACTCTTGTTGGGGCTACCAAGAAGAGTGGGGATTTATGTGCAAGTCCCCAAATAGATAACCAGGCTTTCCTAATACTGAGGAGAGTAGGTATGAGTAAGACAACTAGAGGGTGCATCTACACTGTAGAAATAATGCAGTTTGACACCACTTTAAGTGTTACAGCTCCATCCTATGGAATCCTGGGATTTGTATTTTTACAAGGTCTTTAGCCTTCTCTGCCAAAGAGGGCTGGTTCCTCACAAAGCTACAAATCCCAGGATTCTGTAGGATTGTGCCATGGCCATTAAACTGGTGTCAAGCTGCATTATTTCTACTGAGTAGATGTACCCAAGGAAATAAATCTTTCTGTGTGCAGTTTTTCAGTGCCCTATGAAACTCATGGCCACAGGATATCACAATGGTCAGAGGTGTAATTTGAAAAGGTTCACAAATAGCTGCCTCTATCTTCACAATCCCTGGATTCTGTGGGATGGAACCATGGCAGTTAAAGTGGTGTGAAACTGCATTATTTCTACAGTGTAGATGTACCCTAGGTCAGGAGTAACCTGGGTCACAGGGGACAGTCCCTGGTGAACTAAAAGGGTAATGTTAGAAGGCACAACCCTTGGTGATGACATTAAAGATGATATATGAAGCATCAACCGGTTTGCCATTCAAATAACAAATCCAAATCTAACAAATGAAGTATGGATATACACATACACATGCAGACAGGCTCACACACACTTTTTAAGGTGACACTGTTGCCATGAGATTCCTCCCCCATCTCTGGGGCCAGAGAAGCAGGTCCAGGGATCTAGGAACAGTAGGAGTGGGTGGTACATAACTCTAAAGATATGGCGCATTTGGATTCTGGATTGTGATAACCTGCCTCTCAGCCAATGTGTGAAGCACATTTTTTAAAAGATGGAGGAACTAAAGAGAATGTGACTTTCCCAAAATCACCCATTGGGTTTTCATGGTGGAAGAGTAATTTGAACCCACATCTCCTGGAGTCCTACTCTTAACACTCAAATTTCTATATCACATTTGGTCGTGGAATGCTAGGTTTTAAAAATTAATTTGTTGACACTAAACTTTAGACATTCAGAGATTAATTTGTTCTTGTTAATACTAATAATCAAAGTAATTTCATTCGCAAAGGTGCTATTAATTAATTCATTATTTAATATGTTGATTTTAAAACAGACTAGAGTCCAAAATGCACTGAAGAAATAATCCAGTTTGAGACTGCTTTAACTGCCCTGGCTCAATGCTAGGGAATTCTGAGAAATGTAGTTTTGTGAGACCTTTAACTTTTTCTGTCAGAGAGCTCTGGGGCCATAATAAACTGCAATTCCCAGGATTCCCTAGCACTGAGCCAGGGCAATTAAAGTGGATTCAAACTGGATTATTTTTTCAGTATGTTTTGGACCTATGAGAATTTACCACTATTGACCCTAAGGGGCACATTTTTGTTACTGGGTCCTTCAAAGGTTTGTGTTGTTGTTATTTTAAAGTTGCCTTTTCCCAAACCTGTGGTTTTTAAAATGTCCTACAAAGCTCATAATTGCTGCCTTGGGATGACAGGAGTCTAACAGCTCTGGAAACTGGCAGGCTTGGAAAGGTTATCTTAAATCTTAAAAGAATAAGATCTTTTTTACTGTCTGCAAGGTTTGTGGCAGAGCAACATTTTTGATATTCAAAGGCAGGCATCCCAAGTTCAACCTGTGGCATTTCCAGTTTAGAAGGTCAGGTGTCTAACAAGTCCCCCGTTCTTTGAACTCTTAATACTTGCTCATTTAAATTTCCTCAGCTTGTATTACAAGACAAGGTTATGGCAATGTTTGTGCTCATTAATTTTTTTGATCTTCTTCACATGGAACACATGAAATGTTTGCAGTAAAGGATCAGGAAGGCATCAAAGTAACCCAGGGAGCAAGGTACCTGTGGCATTCGGATTCCATAAATTGCTGTACTCCAGCTCCCGAAAGCCCCAGCCAATGATCAGGGATGATGCAAGTGTAGTTCAACAACATCTGGACAGCCACCCAGATGTTTGGCTTCCCCACTCAAAATCTAAAGAGCTCAGCCTCTATATTCAGAAGCTAGCATGGCTTAGAGCAGGGGTAGGCAACCTTTCCCCTTTAAGGGCCGAGGGACTTCAGCTCCCAGAAGCCTCAGCCATGTTGGCCAATAGTCCCATGTTGGCCAATAGCTCCTGGGATTCTGGGAGCTGAAGTCTCTTGGCCCTTAAAGGGGAAAGGTTGCCTACCCCTGGCTTAGAGGTTTGAGCATTGGACTACGACTCTGGAGACCAGGAGTCAATTCCCCATTCGGCCATGGGAACGCACAGGGCGACCTTGGTCAAGCCACATGCTCTCAGCCTCAGAGGAAGACACTGGCAAACCTATTCTGAACAAATCTTGCCAAGAAACTCATTGATAGTTTCATCTTTTGGTTGCCATAGGTTGGAAGCAACCTACCCATGAAGAGTCAGTGCTGGGAAAAAAATAACAGGATATGCAAGGTTTCAGAGGCATTTACCTAGCTACTGTTGGATTGACAAAGCTGAACTAAGTGGGCCTTCATCATGTCATAAGATCCAGGGGGAGATACCATTTGCCAGTCATAGGCTTCAGCTGCCCTTCATGCCCCCATAATAAGCATCTTTCTATCAGCCCCCCAGATCTCATTCTTTGCAATGGGTTTTGTGCCAAGCTGGGGAACGTGGCAGAGCTGGAAACAGGTGGCTCCACAGCCCATTGCTTGGCAACGGATGGTAAAAATAGCTCTGCCTTTGGAGGAATCTGGCTCTCCTGACACTGCTGGTTTACAGAGCCAGTCCCAGGCAGTGGGGCAAAGAGAGGCACTCACCACCAGAATACCCCCCATGCCACGTTGCTGTCCTTTTATATTAGCTGGGCTTGGACTCCTCTACCCATGAATTTGATTCTATTTGCTGGGAAAGCTTTCTCCTCACCACAACACACCCATCCATACTCACCCACAACTCATCACCAATAATCTGTTCCACAGGAGAGCATACAGAGATCCTTCTATGGAGTTAATTGTGTGCATACTACGTGGTGTTTGTAATGATCTATGGGTTGGAGGCCTTGTTCAAAAATGGCTTGAGAAAGAGGAATAAAAATGTGGCATTCCTGATTCGCCTCCTTTTCTTTTCTCCTACTCTTTTCCCCTCCTACATTTCTCCTCCTCCTCTTCTCTCTTCCTTAATTTGATTTATACCCTGCCCTTCTGAATAAGAGCTCAGGACACTTTATAACCACACCCGGGAAAACACCATTAGCACAAACCAGAAGCTTTTCCCAATTCAAGCTAGGATGACAGGGCAAATGGAGAAGCCTCCACCTCCTACTCCACCCCTTCTCTCAAATCCAGCATTCACTGTATGTAAGTG